TATTATTATTTATTTGTGTTTTTATAATATTGTTTTTTTTTTTGAAAGACGCTTGCAGATAAAAGCAACTTATCACATCACTAAATCTAAAAATAAAACAGAGTATCTCCTTCAATCAATTTTTTTTAAATAATTTTTATTCTATTTTTATTCATTTTATTTTATTTTTTGTATTTTTTTTGGAAGACTTGAAAGACTTTATTTTTTCTTATTTATTGTATTTTGCATTTTTATTTTTTTATTAATAAAATATTATTTTAAAATTATTTTATATTTATATTATCATATTTATATTCTATTTTTGTAAGACAATTGCAGATAAAAAATAACTTATTGCAGTTTTAAAAATCACTCTAGTAACTAAAGTATTTTGGCAGATTGTTACCATTGTGAATTTGAAGACATTTTGTTTCAAGGCCATGTAGATCAAAATATATTTTATTCCATACATCCCATTTCGTATTTAGACACTTTGTCCTAAAGTTGTTTTGTTGTTGTTGCTTGTCTTTTACACACAGCTGCGTGATTCAGGTTTGTTGCCTCGTCCAGTGGTGCTGGTGAAGTCATCAGATGCAGAAGAACTGATGGGACTCGTCAATAAAAACGAAGAAGCCATGGTGTTCATAGACATCATGATGGAGACTCAAAAATGGGTGAGTAATCGTATCCACGTTTAATTGATGTCTTTTAATTTCTAGGCTTTACTGTTTCAGTCTTCCTGCTGAAAACAACAGTTTAAACCAGCATGATTTTACATGGCTGGTAGTGTTGGGTCAGCTGACTGACCAGTATGTTTAGACCTAATGTAAGTGTTGGGGTTGGAGCTAGAAAATAGTTTAGAAATATGGTTATTTATTTATTTATTTATTGCCAAACAACATAATTGTCTGGAATTTCTTGGTATGCTTCGTACATACATACATAAATTATTCCAACCATTACAAAGAATGAAATACAGATGCATAAGTGCAAGAAGAGTTTAAAACATGGACCATCCTGCAATAGGTACTGTTCAAAAAGCGTGCAGACTTAGTTTTAATTGCTCTAAGTCGTCTGCCTAAGGGTAAAGGAATAAAAAAAAATGTCTGGCCGGATGTGTGGAATCTCTAAGAATTGTTAAGCCTTTTTTCTGCAAACGTGACACATAAATGTCATCAATGGAGGGCAGGGTTAGCTCTGTTGGTTTAACAGGAATAATGTTGATCCAGTATTATCACAGTCTTATGTGCCTGAAAATATTACCTAGTAGGGCTGGTCAACCAGTATGGTCCCTCTGGAGATGCTGGTTGGCCAAGATAGTTTTCTTGGTTAAGCTAGTTAATAGATGACAACATCTAAAAGTCAACATACAACATGCATACATTAAAAAACTGTAACTGGGGCAGTATCCTGTTGTAGGCATACCTTTGTACCTTATTTACCCCTAAAGAGTGCATATTAATATATTAAAAGAACATTCGTTTCCAAAGTTTTCGTTTACCTTTAGAAATGGTGCTGCCTCAGTGACAGCTTTTGTAACCAACCATCCTGGTCTTTTCAGAGGGGATAGTTTCATTTGTGTCAAAGATTTGCCTTAACTTAAAGTGTTTTGGGGATAGCACCTTCTGGCTGTTATTGGGTTAAAATCCATTAGTTGGTGGTTTGAGGACAAGACACTTAAGCTTCACTCTTCGTATGTTGTGTACACAGCCGCACTATGATGTTGGCATCCTGTTGACTGTGGCTCTGGTTGTGTTGGCCATCATCATGATCTTTGCTCTACGCTTCCGCTGCAGGTCCAACAGAGCCTGGGTAAGAAAACACAACACACATTATACCAGGAGTGGTCCTAAAGAGCCACAGTCCTGCAGAGTTTTGCTCCAGCCTTCATAAAAATTCACCTGCCTGTAGCTTTCTAGTAACCCTTGGACCTTCATTGGCTCGTTCAGGCGTGTTTGATTAGAGTTGGATTGAAACTCTGCAGGACTGTGGTTCTCCAGGACTGAAGTTGGTCACCCTTGCATTATATACCAATGCAGTCTACATTTACTTTTAGTCTTGATTGTAACTTTTCCATTGCATCATTGTACTCTTCCCCTGTTCTGCATGATCATAACTTATTGTTTTGACTTTTAAATTCACTCTAGAAATCTCATAATAATTTTTTCTCAACTCCCAGGACTCTGTGCACCAGCAGACCATGCGTGCCATCAGCAGGTTGGAAACGCACACATACAGCTCTCAGGGTTGCTCTGGCTCCCAGCATTCTCGTGGGGCTCCAGAGTCAAACAGCAGCTCAAATTCCAGCCCAATCTGTGCCATCTGTCTTGAGGAATTCATGGATGGCCAGGTAGGAGATGAAAAGAACAAAAAACATTATATGACTTTGAAGAGGGGCAAGAGAAACCATCAAACCCAGACAGGGAAAGGACCACTTTTGTATTGAGGCACACCAATGGTACATTTAATATTATATTTTCTCTGTCTCTCTGGCAGGAATTGAGAATCATCTCCTGTGCTCATGAGTTCCATAAGGAGTGTGTCGACCCCTGGCTCCTACAACACCGTACCTGCCCACTGTGCATGCACAACATCATGGGTAAACAGCCTCAGGGTACATATATATTTCTCCAATAACTTTATTATAGAGCCTCCAAGGCAGCACTGTATTGAAATTCCTCTTCTTTCTTTATCATATGCTTCCTAAATATGAACACATCCAGTTTAAAGAGATGCCCAAACCTGTGTGACTTTCTTCTGTGGAACACAAAACATAAAAGGATCCAGTGTTGTTTGGACCCCAATGTTCTTCAAAATGTCTTTCAATGTTCTAAGGAAGAAGGTTATATAGGATTGGTAAGACCTGAAGCAGGATTTCATTTGTTTAGATCCAAAGCCTGAACGTACCCTGAACTCTAGTTCTTGATTTTCAAGAAGAGTTGTTTTCAAGAACCAAATGTTTTCAAACTAAATTCACCATTTATCCTCCATTAGGTTCAGATCTGGCATCCCGTCAGCCCCAAAGAAGTCGAATGCCACCCCCTCCACCTGAGCACAGTCAAGCCTTCCTCCTTCCCCATCACTATTCGAACCAACACCCTTATCCCCAGCACCATGTTCCCTTTTCCCTGCAGCATCATTACCCCCGTAACCCCTCTGGACATTTACCCCAATTGGGCCACTATGGCAACTCTCCCCCTCTTAATCCACGGACTCTCCGTTGCTTTCCCAGCAGACCATTGGGTGCTAGCTGTGCGTACCACTTGGCTCCGGATGCCCATCATGGACGTCCGCACAGGACAGGCGGGCACGGGTGTCGGACCGGGGGGCATCACTATGCAGCCCCCAGAAGGTCGTGTCACCGGTGTCCCGGAGGACCTTTGCGGATGCATCATGTGGTATCGTCCGCAAACCATGCAACTCATCATCACCTGCCACGTGGAGGAGGCTCGCACAGTCGCCAAGATGACGGCAGCTGCTCTGGAGGGAGTTACCATACGGAGCGTAGCGGTTACCTTGCAGACGGACCGGCCAGTGATTCCAGCTCGGGATCGTGCCACGGCTCGTCCAGCGACTCTGTATTGAACTGTACGGACATCAGCCTGCAGGGTGTCTATGGCAGCTGGTCCACTTTTCGTAGCTCGCTCAGCAGCGATTACGACCCGTTTGTCTACTGCGGACCGGGCAAAGCTCCACGCAGAGGGAGCATGGAGGCCACGCAAAGGCCTCGTTCCCTGGACTCGGTAGTGAACCGAACCGGGGGTGGAAGCGGCGGTGATGCCGGTGCCATTTGCCCGGAAGAACAGCAGCAACAGGTGGCTGTGTTCAGTCACGTTCACTATCACAGGCATAGACACCACTATTACGAGGATGGGGAACTCAGTCAAGGGCCCGGCCGAGGCTCTGACGAGGATCAAGGGGCCACGTCCTCAGCCGCGGCAGCAAGCGGGCCTTGTCTCGTAACTAAAGACAAAGACTCCTCCGGGTGTCAGGTACAGCACCAGTCTTGCCACTGCCCCAAAACAGACCTCAGTTCAAGGAGGGTTGAGGATAGAGACCCAGACCCTGTTTCCTCCTCAGGTGCCTCCGTGATCCTTCCCTCTCCTCCTTTAACCTCTCCGTCCCCACCCTGTTGCCACAAAGGCCCAGGGTGGACGACCGGTCGGAAAGCATCTGGCTGTCCATTGGAAGTGCCTTCGCCGGTTGTTCACTTCCATCAAAGCTTGGACCTTCAGGATGATTGTAGCATTCATATCCACTACGGACAGGGAGCGGGAAGCTACTGCTGCACACCTCCACCAGACATGGCCCCCACGCTACTGCCAGTGCCCCTGATCTTGGACTCGACGGGTATGACCGACTGGCCGTGCTGTAGTGGGGCACATGTGGTGTGGCAGAAGCAGGTGCAGCAGGCCCATTCAGAGCCTCAGCTCCTGGGACCCACTTCTGGAATGGACAGACCCCTGTGTAGGGCCCATCATGGCCCAGGGGACGAACTTCCCATGGACATCTGTCTGTACTGCCAAACTCTACACAATAGTCAGGGTGAGTATGTCTGACTGTAGTGCTCCACTATAGAGCACTGCTGGAATGAGTCCTAAGGCTGATGATACACGGGGCAACTTTTTGAGCAATGTTGCCATCAACGGGCAAACAGGTGAGACACAGGGCCCACAACCGATCTAAAGTATCTAGATCGAAATTTGTTACCCATTCTCAGTGGGAAAGTGCCCAAGCAACATTGCTCAAAAAGTTGCCTGGCAAAATAGCTCAAAAAGTTGCCCCATGTATCATGAGTTGCATTTTTGGACTTATGGTTCCATCGTGTGGCAGTCAGTTGTTTTTTGGTGAAATGCCTGAAATAAGGTCTGTGATTACCACAGGCTCAAGATATTTTCACATTGTATTCTACCACATAATATACACCATTATTACCACTCATGTTTTTTTAAGCTTTTGCGCATCTTGTCAAACAGGTAAACTTATCAACTCAATAGTCTACTTTTAGAGCTTTGTTGTGTTTATAGTCACATTCCCACAAACTACTCCAATTCAAACTTTCCAACTTGTAGATTTTTAAGCTTGAAAGAGGTCTCGGAAACTTAGTGATGGTGAATTTGAAGTCATGCAACCGTGGTGTAATTCATGTATATCCTACATTTTAGCTTTTTTTAGAAAAATACGTAATAATCATAAACTTTTGTTCGTCACAAAGCTTATTTTTTGCAGTAGCCCAAAAGCCAACTGAAAAACCCTATTGTCTTTTCGTTGAGGGAACTAGGGTGATGGGGTTGGTGTATAAAATTCTCTATTGCTGGTTATAACCTGAATGTACAAAGCTGATTTTTTACAAAGCTTTGAGTTTTACATGGAAACGTTTTTTTTTTTTCTTCACAGGGTCAGAGGAAGAGTCTGGTGTTTGAGAAAACTCTTCGTCCAAAACTCCTCTCGCTGCTACACAAGAGCCGAAATGGACAAAACTCTTCGGCGATCTCTCGCTGTCTCTTTCACCTCACATGTTGAGTCTTCCGGATAATTCCAAACATCTTCTGCAATATCAAACTGAATTACTCAGATTCTCCAGACCTCAGATTTCATTCTCACAAAGAATTCAGCAGTCACTGACGATTAGATGGGTTTTCCAAAGTACTCTTCAGTAGTGATGCTCTGTTACTAGCACCTTTCTAATGTCCAGAACAAGTCATTCTTGGTACTTTACCCAATACGGTCCAAATGCGACTTTTCATAGACAAACAAGTGGTATTAATTCAGGCAGTTATCAAAGGATCTGGAAGATGCGCATGAGATTGAGTATGGTTTCTTCCTTTCCTTTGGTTTAAAACAGGATTCGATTAGTATCTTCTCTTGTAAACAAGTCTGAGAACTCCTTGGTGATCTTCATGAAAGATATAAACATGTCTTTCCGTATTCCATTCAGATTTAGACTTGGCGTATGTACTTTATGCAAGTATGTAGACGCTTCTATGATATCTACACAAGCTTGGTTGTCGTGTTCTGAAATGTGTCAGAACTGATTCATAATGCTTGTCTTGTTCTACAGTCATTTTTCTCTTTCAGGTTAACTACTATCATGGCGGAATTCTGTTTACAACAGCTACCTGATTAATAACATAATATGAAGGTATCATTATACCTTGAAGACTGAGATACGAAGCATGTACAACGAAACCAAGAGCTTGCAATGCATCGGCTGTGCACTTACTTCTGTGTTTGCGTACTTGCATAAAGTATGTTTCATTAGTTCACTGAGCCTACTGGCTAATTTTTAACTATCTAGTCATTGCGGTGCTACCCGCCTCTTCCATTTAATTTCTAGCTTTTTAACTATGTGTTGGGCTACGTTCAAGCATCTGGCCTGGGTTTCCAGCACTACCTCAGATAACCAATCAGAAAGTCCTGTTAGCGAGACAGTACTTCAAAGGTACTTGTGCGTTAGCCTCTCGTTACCTCTGACAGATATTAACTCAGAGGAGCGATAGGGAGCTTTACTTTATATCATCTGTCCTTGGAAAGGAGCATTTCATTGAGGTTTCAGGTTTTGTTAATTCAGAAATGGCAGCTGTTATTTACAAATGTTTGTGTCTTCATTTATTAATTTTGCTCATCAAAACTGAATGAATTGACTGAATATATTTAGGGAAAGTTGTGAAGATTTTTTTGTTTTGTTTTGTTTCATTATTTTGGTCTGTTAAGCCTATAATGTGTTTGGGCTGAGAAGGACTACATTTCCCAGAATGCTTTGCTTTCACCTCTGTGACTCTCATGTTCCCTTAAAGGGATGCGACATTTCATAGAAACCAACCAGCATACAAGCTTATCAAAAGTGCCTCTGTAATCCATGAAATGAACACTTCATGAAGTTTATACATAAATTTATGTAGCCTGCTGTCATGTTCCTGGCAATACCAGCTGACACACAAAACTTGAGTTGGCTCGATGCGTATTGCCTGCAAGCATAGTTATACTGTTACCCAGAAATGTCTGTTGTCGTTTATTGTAAAATCCAACCTTTAAAGGAATGGTCTGGGTTCAAAACAAGCTAAAACAAGTGACATGCTGGAAGTAAACCCTTCCTTCAGTTTGTAAAAATATCTGATGCAGTTCTGAACCTGTACCATTCCTTTAAGTATAGAAAAGGAAACACTGGAAATCTTGCCATGACAAACACCTGAATGTTTTTTGTTTTTTGTCAGTAAATGGTCAAACTGGTCCAAAATGGTCTTTATCCTTTGAACCACAAACATCTCCCATGAGTCTTTTTGGCTTCATACCGTCACATGCTGATTTTCATCTAAATGAGGCTGAATCCCAAATGAAAATATATGCAAGACAAAATATAGTAAATCCCAGTGTAGGGTTTCCTCATACAGGGTTCCCACACCTTAAGACCAATGACTTTTCCAGTTGTTTTTGATTATCGTAAAGATTTTTAAAGTCATTTTATAAAGATTACACTCAGAAAGAGAAACTTTCAGTCTATTAAAGATTTTAAAGCCGTGCATAATAGCAAGAAATTATGTCTGTATTGTTCATACGCTCTCTTTTCCACAGAAAATCAATGAAAACTGCCTTTTTTAATAGAGCTAAATCCCTTCAGAAATCAAGGGATATGCCAGTATATGTTCAATATTTTGTGTAAAAAAAAAAGACAAAACAGTTATAAGATAAAGTGTTGTATTTTATATATAATAGAACATTTCAATATGGTAATGTCACTAATATATTTATTTACTAATATATTTATCCATTTTTGTCCAGGTCTGAGAACATTTTTAAAAATGTTATTTTCTCACGTTTGGAATGATATTCTTTATGAAACGTACAGCTGCCATCATAGATGTATAAACCTGGCATCATTCCGATTATATACAAATAAATTATTTTGAAATAAAAATACAGAGAATGTGGTGTTCATTTGTTTTTATTTAATATATAATTGTGTACACACACACACGGGAAGTAATGATGAAAATTAAGGTCTTTATTTATTTAATGTTTTAGTTATTTATTTTATTATTTTGGATGTTTGCATTATGGATGGGTAGTTAATAGTAACTATTTTGTCTGAAGGAAGGGACTCAAGCCATATCCAATAAATAAATACTTGAGTTAACTTTAAAAAAAAATAAAGTAGCCACCTACAAAACATTTTTGACTCTTACCAACTTCAAAAGTTATTAATTTTTGAAAGTTATATTGGTTGTTCACCCAAACCCGATCAAACTTCCTCAGCAAGTATATTAAATGTTTATTGAAATTGAAATTAGTGGTTGAATAAACTACTATTCTAACTTTAACAAGAGACCAACATATGAAGACCAGCTCAGCACAGGCAAGAACCACTTACATTTTCTGCAGAAAACTATTTTACGTTTTTTTTCAGTCCCATTTGACTCTGAAAGTGGATGTAGCAGATGAACAAATAAGAAAACGATACAGATACATTATACAGTTCTTATATTAAATGTCTTTATTGTCATCCTGGACATTTTAATTGATGGTGTCATATTATTTCACTCCAGCATGAGGCTTGAGTAAATCACCTTAATGCAGTTGTGTGTGTTAGTAAGAGGCCTTCGGGACGCCCTGGCTCTCCGGTGTGAGAACTGTGAGGTTTCCTCTGGCATCCTGGTCTTTCTCGATGGCCTCGAACAGAGATTTGAAGTTTCCAGCTCCAAAACCCTAGTGGATAAGAAGACATGGCAGAGTGACAGGTTTAACTGGGTTCTTATGATGAAAAAACCGAGAATTAGACCCAGATAAAACATGTAAACATCTGAGGTGTAGAATATACTTCACTGAGAAATTGCTAGTAAATTTCACGAATAATTACAAAGACACGGCAAGTAATATTGAAGTAAACGTCAAACTTTGAAGTAGAAAATCCGAAGTATTTTCCTGAAATATATACTCCTCCAATAATCAACTTTGAAATATAATTTTTTACACATTTACCTCACATTTTGTTACATATCTTCAACTTTGCTTTTCAAACCAGAAGAATTAAATGGCACAGAAAAAGTAAAAAGTAACTAAGTTCCCCTTAATAATAAACATAATGAATACTAACATTGTTTTCAGCGATGTGCAACCTGTATATATCTGCTAACATCTCAAAAAATGTGTTTTAGAGCTTCATTGTCCTTTAACAAAAAACCAGTCTTTGGATTTGATGTCGTTGGGTTCGATTTCTTGCTCTGTTTTACAGTTTAAACACCACAGAGGAAAGTAAAGCCCCCTTTAGTGCGATTCAAATAGAAATGTCTTGTCTTTAGGCATTTCCTTCACTTCACAAGCTTTAAAAAGCCCCTAATAACACTATGAGCCTGTTCAAACATGTTTTCTCAGAGTTCAGATTCAAACTCAGTACTGTAGTTACTGTACCTCCATAAAGACTATATATTTTATCTCAAATATTTCATCTGTATGACATTATTTTATGCCTAATCCTGATATCAAGGTTACTATATTCATATATATATTACTGTATGTGTGTATTTATATATACATAATAAATAAACAGAGTACACATACATATATTGTGCAAACAAAAACTTTTATTTTGGATGCGATTAATCGTTTGACAGCATATATGCTCTGATATATATGCACATAAATATGAGCAATATCACAGGAGTAGCTGTGCAATATGGCCATATGTCAGTATATATCATATATTGTGCCAATATACAGCAATATCTCATGGCTACGAGTGTGATATTGCGTTTATACAACGATTCGATGGCAGGAGTGTGTAAATGCATAAGAAACAACGAAGTGTGTGTTTAATTCAGACTTTTTTTCTCACAATTCTGACTTCTTTCCTCGGAATTGTGAGATATAAACTCACAACTGTGATTTATGAAGTCCAATTCTGAGGCGGAAAAAGAGAGACCATTTTCTTACAGTCGCAATTCTGAGAAAAAGTCAAATGACCTTTTTTTTAATTCAGTGGCGAAAACGGGCTTCCATATTAAGCCTGGATGAATGAGGTCAAACACAGACTCACAGAGTGGTTGTTCCTCTGGATGACCTCCAGGAAGAGCGTCGGTCTGTCCTGCACGGGTTTGGTGAAGATCTGCAGCAGGTAACCTTTATCGTCATAGTCTACTAAGATTTTTAACTCCTGCGTTGGATAAAAGAACGAATGCATTCAAAAAATGCATTAGAAAAACCATTCAAATGTGTCCATTTCTTGAACAGAATGGACTGTCATATTGCTTTCTCTGACCTGCAGTGTTTTTAGGTCCTCCTTCACCTTGATCTTGGCCGTCTTGAGATTCTGCCGTAGGGTGTCGTAGTAATTATCGGGTGTGGACAAGAACTCCATCCCTCGAGCTCGGAGGTTCACAATCTGATTCATCAGGAAAGAGTTTCAGGTTTTGTATTTGACTTTATTGTGGTCTCGTAGGAATGAATCATATTGAGAGGAGTTGTGAACCGTACAGCTTGGATGATGTTGGGGGTGTTTAGTGCGATGTGCTGCACTCCGGGTCCTCCGTTGTAGTCGATATACTCCTTTACAAACAACAAGAGGAAATTATGGCGGTAAGATGGATGTTTATTATAGATTTCAAATGTTTTAGCCAAAGGTGAAGTGTATCACAATTGTGGTAATTATTGTGACAGCTTCGCGTCGTGCCTAACAACGCCCCTTAGCTGTTATAAATTCACTGTAAACCACGGCTTCTTGGGGCTTATTGCTTTTATGAAACTGTTATATATGTAACAATGTAGTTCCTCAGAAACGGTTGTGGTTGCAACAAAGTGGTTGCCGAGCAACACACAGACGTAAACAAAGGTGTATGTTACTTTGTAGAGTAATTTACAACAGCTTAGAACGCGGCTCAACCAATCAGAATCAAGGACCGGAACTATCTGTTTTATCATTTGACTTGACAAAGCCAACAGTGATCTACTATTTAAGCTGCATGCTTCCTCTTCTGAGACTAAATTTAGTCAGTGTCTCCTCCTAGAGTTTTCAAGCTACAGCCACCAAACTTGGGGCAGACCTTAAGATTGGTCTGACTCGGGTTGCTCTATCTTTCCTAACTGATCGGAGTTACGGTTTTCGTTAAACAGACAAACGAATCTACAAAAAGTCCCATAGACTTTCATTAAGGGGGGTCAAACCTTTTGAACAAATACTTCACATATAAGGTATTTAAGCTGTCTATCACTAGCAAAGCTTAACGACTATTCTAGGACTACATGCTAGTAATGTGCTAATCATGCTAGCAATCTAATAAAACCGGCTAGCAATGTGCTAAATCATGTTAAAACGTTAACAATGTACTAAATCATGCTAGCAGCATATTAATTCATGCTAGTAACATGCTAAAACATGTTAGCAACTTGCTTAAATGTTTTAGTAATGTGTTGCAACGTTAATAACATTTTATTGACCGAGTAAAATCTTGCTCTTCAAGCTTTTCGAAGTTATTTTAAACTTTCAAACAAGAATTTGTCAAGCCGTGTGTTTACAAACTTTACTCATCTATTAATTATTATGCCGCTTATCTAGTGTGGAATTAAAAAAATCATACAATTTAAAAACAACTGGTGTTGGATGTTACACTGTTTACAATAATATTTCCCCAAAATACTGTTTCCATATTTTACCATCCACAAATGACACAGATAGGGGTTTTACAAACACATGGGGGGTCGTGAGTTGATGAAAAGCTAATAATTATTTTAATTGGGATGTAAAATCTAATTTTAATGTTGCTTGGTTCACTTTATTTACTTTACACATTATTTACACATTCATATAATTTCCAACATTTCTATGGATGGAAGTTTACAGCATTTCACCAGTATTCAGCCAAAATATCTGAAATGTTAAACGCTTGAGGGTTTGAACATTGGAAGTGAAGAATCTAAGACATAAATATCAGTCGTGTGTAGTAAAAAATAACATTTGTTTTATAATTATTAAAATATTTTTTGTTGTTTTATAGTGCAACTCTAATTTATATACTTATAATCAGGGTTATTATTAACTAAAACTAAAACCATAAAAAGTTTAAATAAAACAGATGTTAACTGAAATTAAATAAATTTACAAAATGTAAAAAAAAAAAAGGCTAATTTCAATTTAGTTTGACTTAATGTACTAAAATAACTAAAACTACCTAGAATAAAAACTACGTACACTCAAAAAAAAAAAATCTGTAAAAATAGGGCACAATATACTGTATAATTTGAAGGAATTTTTCCATACTTATTTTTTACAGGTGTTTTACCAGTATTTAGAATTTTACTCTTCATTGCATTGTTTTAGAGTTAACAGAAATGTCCGTAAAATTAATAGATAATGTTGTGTGTAATGAGCTGCCAGTCTTAAAATATATATGTGTATATATATATATAAAACCAAAACGTTTACTGAAAAAAAAATCTGTATTTGATGTGTTTATCTGCATGTCATTTTACCATTAAGCAACATCAGAGAACCGTGAACATGTGAATGTGTTGTTAAATTTTAGCAATATTAACTGAAAATCTCAGGGGTGAATATTTTACGTAAGGGCTGATGGAAAAAGTTCAGGACTCACTGCCTTAAGAATTCAATCAAAACTGAAATGTATGCAAGAAGTTCTGAATCTGCTGGAGGAACCTGGATTTGTGATTTCTTTTTCCCCATGGCTGGTTCATTAAGGCTAATTTCAATTTAGTTTGACTTAATGTACTAAAATAACTAAAACTACCTAGAATAAAAACTACGTACACTCAAAAAAAAAAAATCTGTAAAAATAGGGCACAATATACTGTATAATTTGAAGGAATTTTTCCATACTTATTTTTTACAGGTGTTTTACCAGTATTTAGAATTTTACTCTTCATTGCATTGTTTTAGAGTTAACAGAAATGTCCGTAAAATTAATAGATAATGTTGTGTGTAATGAGCTGCCAGTACGTTTTCTGTTATTTTACGTATTTATTTTTTACAGTGTAGAAATGTTTTTTTGTTTTGTTTGTTTTTTGAAAAATAATAAAAATGACAAAAAGTATGCAAAAAGTTAATTTAAATAAAATGGAAATGAAATGGAAATTATAAAAAAATATTCAAAATACTAATAAAAATGGTAATACTGTTTATAATAATAATTAATTAATTAATTAAATGACACATAGATAAAATGTTAAATTGCTGTTAAATCACTATATTACAAAATTCGATGGACCAGAACCTGTGGAACATCAGACACTTCTGATACCTGCAGAAAAACAGACAGATCGCGTTATTGTGACATTTCCTCGAATTTGTCTTATTGATTTGTTTGTTGGACGTGTGACCCTCACCAGTCAGAAACTGGCACCATTTTATCATCTGGCTGGTTTCCCACAACGTGATCGATGAAGCATAAGTGTCCCGGAGGCCTTTGCGAGACAAAGAAACCCGCTTGTGAGAAGTTTGATGCTTTTGAAAGCTGAAACATATTATTTAAGCCTAATTGCATGCATTTTTGGATTGTGAAATGTCATAAATTATAGGCAAGCATTTGCATATCCGTATGTTTCTGGCCTAAGCACTTCAAATGATCTGAGTGAATTTCCCAGTAAAATGACTCACAGTTTTGCTAACAGAGGGTCTCTGAACAGCGGCTCTTTGTATCCTGGCAGAAACAGACCTTTATATGGCCCCATGTACTCCACAAATGTGTGTGTCGTGTCTCCGTACTGCAAAACATCGCATCTCCGGCTCAAGCTTTTAATGCAAGTCTATGTGTGTCTGGGCACAACTCTTGCTGACTTACCGTCTGAATTACGGCGTATTTGACTTTGCCGCCTGAATCCTGCTCGACCCACGGCTCTTTGACGATCACCGCTCCTCTCTCTTTGGCTTTCTGCGAACACAAGCACACTTTTATTCCAAAGTCCCTTCAAGGCAAATCAGTTCACTGTGTGCAGTTATTTTCGAGGTGATGATTGTGTTCAGAATGGAATACTAACTGGCTGTGAACTGAAGAGAAAACACTGCAATAGTATGCATTATGCAATGATCATTCTTTTCATCTTATTCAACGTTTTCTAGTTTTGTTTTGCTTTGCTTTAGTTTTTTTGTGATGCTCTTTTCCTTGAACCATTTTAACCCTCAAATTTGCTTTCTGTAATGCAAAAGCAAAAGCAAAAAAAAAGTCCTGCATATTATTGAAAAAAGGTGTAATAATATGCATTATGCAGGAATATGTTTTTAAATGCATTATGCAGGAATACGGGTTTTTTCCCATGTTTTTGAGATTTTTCTTTCATTCTGATATTCTTTTCATGACAGTTAAACCCATTTTAACCCTCACACTATCATTAATGTGATGCAAATAAATAAATAAATAAATAATCAATCCTGCTGTTAACTTTAAAATATGATTAATTGTATTTGAAATAATGCCTACTTTTTGAAAAACAACAGTGCAATAATATGCATTATACAGATTTTTAAAGCATGTTGCATGTGAGTTGCGTCCAGCTATCATTTTGTAAATAAATGTTTAATTTTCCATTTTTAAAGTGTAATTTTTTTGTAAAAATGTCTTGCCTTTAGGTTCATGTCTTACATTTTGACAACTGAAGTTTTAAAAAAAATCAGTCAATATTCAAGTTCATTTAGAAAGAGACTTTCTAGAAAACTAGAAAGAGAACAATCCTTGTAATATCTTTTTTTTTTTTTTTTTATGAAAATAGAACAAATAACAAACAGAGCATAGCATAAGACAGTCAGTGCTATACAAAGTGTGACATTAATTAGTAACGGGAACTGAAAATAATGTCATAATATTTTAAACATGTTAATGACTTTTTGTTTTTTAACAATTTCAGAGAAAATATAAAACAATGAAATTCCACTAAAAATGCCTTAATTATTGGGGATGAATTTAAGCATTTTTGTTTATGTATATAACATTTTGCCAGCAATATGAATAAATTAACAATGTATTCAAGACCTTTGTTAACATTGTTTTCATAGTACACAATAATATCCTTTAAAGAAAAACAGTATTTATCCTTTACTAGATTAAAAATAAATTCTGCCAATTCCTTCTAAAAATTTTGGGTAATTTTACAATCAAAAAAATAAATGTGATAACACCTCTTTCTCATTTTTACAAAAGGAGTATAAATCATCAATATCAGAGTATCTTGAAATTATTGATTTAACAGGGTAGATGGTATGCAAAATGTTAAAAATGTATTTCTTTAGTTTTGTTATTGATACAATATTTAAAGGGGATTAACCAAGCAGTCTTCCAATTAATATTATAATCCTTGTAATATCTGTTTAACTAAGGAAAGGCATCAATGACATCATCAGGAAGTGACATCATTTTGGAGGGAAAACAACAGTAAGTACCAGTGGATCGGATGAATTCTTTGATATTTTGTATATATAGTTACTGCAGGAATAGTAAGAGTGAAATTGTTGTGAGCTACTGAGAACAAATGCTGGTTCTGAATTGTCTGTATGAAATTCTTGACTCATTTGATCTGATCTGACTGGTTTTACAAAAAAAAAAAAAAAAGGATAAAGCGTGCAAATTAATAACATCTATTTTGACATGATAACTGGACACCCTCACTGAATTAATCATGCAACATTATAAACATTATTAGTGTGAATTATGTAACATACTTCTGGAACCCTGTACAACATATAGTGTGCAGGATCAGTATTATATATGAACAGTATTAAATATGATTTACCTTGATTAAAAAGTCACAGTCCTCCACTTGAAATGCCACGTCTTTCACTCCGTCTCCATGTTTCATGAGATGCTCGCACATTTCTGTGGAGAGACGCAGGTGAGCACTTGTTATTATTTTTTCTTGTTATTATTTTTTCTTGATCTTTTCATGGATTTATTTATTTTTTTTTCAACCCTGAGTTAACAGAACAGAATGTTTCATTATGTTATTCCATGCTTTTAAGATGAATTCGTATTTTCTTAATGCAAAGTATTAGGTTTATTAAAGCATTAATATTATGTGGCCTGTTTTTTCTTCACATAATGTTTAAGATGAATTGAAACCGTTCATACCCTCGTTCCCAGGGTTCAGGGCGGACTCAAAGACAAAGATTATCTGGGAAAAGAACCGGGGTGCTTCTGAAATTTCAAAGCAGTTTCTTAAAGAAGTTGGTTTATTTCCAGTCATTTTAGGAGGTGTATATTAAAGTATATTCACACACACCTTGTCCTGTCTGATGGCGTGAGACACCACCTCTCTGCTGCCCGTCTCCAGAACTTTATACGCCAGCGGCTCGAAGCCAAACTTATCACAGTAAAACACCGCAGCCTACGGCAATAACAACATCAACAGGTGCTTGCTGCATGTCTTAAAGTCCTTTGTAAGGATAGAATGGTCGTGTAGTTTTTATGAGGTACAAAGCAAAAGAAAAAAAAAACTCAAATAGCTGTTAGAACAAATGAATAAAATGCATTTGCTTGTGCTGGAAAAAACTGAAAACAACACTGCATAAATAGTTTTTTTTTATTAAAACAAATAGTATCTCACATGGCAAAATATAAATAAATATATATATATATAAAAAAAATCTGGCCTAAATATATGCTAAATATATGTTGTAAACTCTGAAGCTCAATGAAAAATACTGAAAGTATGAAACTGAAATTGAAAATATATTTAGTTTCAACCTTCGTTTACCAAAATGTGACACATTCAGTGTTATTTTAGAATCAACGAGATACTGTGGCTTTTGTTAATACTTTGAATGAGATATGATGTTAATTTTAGTTTTTTAGTCTGTAGTTTTTATTATAATTTTCATTCGAGTTTTAGTTATTTTACTACATAACTAAAGTTAAACTATATGAAAGTGAGAAATGTTGTCATGGAAACTAACTTTTTATATTTTTTTTAGTTAACATTTATTTTATTCCAGGTTTTTTTGTTTGTTTGTTTTTTTTAGTTAACTATATGATATTATTATATATATTTTTAAATGCTTATGAAAATACATTTATATTTTGGAAAATATACAAAAAATGGCCAAAGTATATACTGATAGAAAATATATTTACAATTATATTTATTGAAATATATTTTAGCAAATATACTTTTTGACCATTTTTTAATATATTTTCAAATACCTGTTGAGCTTGTTTTACAAGGAAATACTATTTCAGTCTTTGTAATTCAAAATGTTATGTTTAATTCAGTGTTACTTGACATTTTTTGTAATTAATTGTTACATTTATTTACAGTTTCTAATTGTTTCCACACCAATTTTTCAACTCTAAACCTACCAAGAAAAGATATTAGCGGTGCAAAATGACGACATACTGGTCAACTGTGTTAATATGTAAACCTGTTTGACTGAGACTATCGAGATCAGATGAGATGAGCTCATATATTATTGCATATATCATATAATATTGCATCACTGTTAGATTAAGATCACGTTATTGATTTCATCTTCAGAGAAACCTTCGTCATCTGCATTAGTTCAGGATCTCTGGAAGCTTCTCTGATCTTCTGCTAACATTAGCAAGTCAATATATATAAGCAACAATATTAGCGGCCTATACTACTTTCCTTTAATTTCATCCCAATTTATTACATTTAAATCATGCTACTAAGTTTATATTCAGTGCCAATATCTGATCAGAGACTCTCATTGAAACTTTCTGCATCAAAGCAGTTTCACTAAGGTTTCCAGTACAAACGTATCATTCTCTGAAAATTGAATTAAGTGCAAAATGATCTTGTTTTAATTTCAAAGCTGTATATTATCATATTACAGTAATATTTTCATAACTGTTTTTTTTATGCACAGATTTAACTCACCTGTTTGGCATTTCCCACCCAGAATTTCACATGGTGAAATTTTATAAATTTCCCTCTCTCTGGCTGCAAAAGAAAAAAACAACTATTTTTTATGTATATATGTA